AAGAAACAAAGAAACAAACAAACAAACAAACAAACACACAAACAAACAAGCAAACAAACAATCAATCAATGACACAAGCAAACAAACAGAAGCAAGCGAACGAAAGGGACAAACAAAGAAAGAGTGAAACAAACAATCACGGACGAACAAGTCAAAGAACCGCACGAACATGCAAACATCAATCCATCAATCAATCCATCAATCAATCAATCAATCAATCAATCAATCAATCAATCAAAGAAACAAATAAATAAATAAATAAATAAATCAGGAAAGGAATAAATACAGAAAGAAAATAAATAAAGAAAATACATATAGAAACAAGCAACGAACAATACACGAAAACAGAAGCAGGCAAACAAACAACCAACCCACGAGCAAAGAGAAACAAGCAAGCAAACAAACAGACAAATGAACAATCAGACAAAAATAGCAAAGAGAAACAGCTGAATGAACGAACCAACACACAAACACGAACGAACCCGTTCCGGTTTAGTGTTCGCTGGGTCCGCTACGCGCAGGACGGGTTTGGGGAGACGGCACTCATGGAAGCCGCCGCCCAGGGCCAGCCCAACCTTTGCAAGCTGCTCTTGGAGTCCTTGGCCAACGTAGGCTACCGGTCCCCCACCAAGCTCCGCGCCCAGGACCTGGCTGCCGACCATGTGAAGCTGCCCAGCAGACATTGCCGGGTGATTTCGCGTGATTTCGCGTGGCTCCAGAGATTCAGACGGTTCCGGCAAGGATTCCAAGGCCGACAAGCGGCGAGAAAGCAAGGCCTTGAGCTTGAGTGTTGCTGAGGCACTTCTTCAACATGCCGCAGAGCTATTGGCACGACCGGGGCCTGAGGCTGGCGGCGCGGCAGCACAATCTGCGAAGGGCGGCGCTGCTGCTGGAGCGAGCCAAGCAAGACAAGCAGGAGCAACGGTAGGTTGGAGAGCAAACGCGTGGAATCCACGGAGCAGAAAAAGCAGGATCGACCGCTGCCTTAACCCTGAAGACAGAGGTGGGACTAGGGCTTTCTGTATGATGGGGTTGCGCTGGGGTCTATTGGCCACCCGCCACACACAAGAATTCTCCCTTACCACGCCCTCCGGAGGATTACCAGGAGTTTTCGATTCCTGAAAACCGGGGAAGACAGCGGGTTGGAGGTTTGAAACCCACCTACTTCCAGACCATGGGACGATCCAACATATTGCCTGCATGGTATGCAGCATGTCAGCATGTCGTCGATCATGGTTCTTTCTTGGAATGGCTTGGGCAGTTGGGCACCGGTAGAGGTGGAATTCATTCCGACTCCCTTGCTAGGTGTGAGTGAATTAACAAGCCATGGTTGTCATGAAGGTTTTACAACAGGCTGAGGCCTATCGGACCATTTGCACTCTGGCTGAGGAGGTCGATGTGAACGGAGCCGACGGCAACGGTTTCACGCCCCTCCACGTCTGCGCAGCCAGGGCGCCCGACTCTGACGAGTCGCGGCTCTTCACTCGGTGGTTGCTCGATGAGCTGCCCGGATTGGACTGGGGTCGCGTTCTGAGGCCCCTCCAGGACGATTTGTTGTGCTGGTGCCGGTTTGTTAGCAGCTAGAAGGGACACGGGCATATGTTGGTCAAGTTGTTTTTTTTGTTAGCCTATGGCACATAATCATTGTTGGCGAGTGTGATGTTCAACAGAAGGATGCTCTGTTGATCTAGCCAGCTTAGCCGAGGTGGGATGATGTTTCCCTTGGCAACATCCATAAACATTCTCTGGTGTGAACAAGGAACCATTACCGACCTCGATCAACGCAGCCAACATGCAGCGATACCAAATTTTGCATGTTCCAGTTGCGGCGTTCCGTACTCTTCTTGCCCACCATCCGAAATGCACGAGAAAAGGAGTCGATTCAAGGCATAGGTGGATACTTGGCTTCGAACAGAAATGGCAGGGTCTGAAATGGGGGAACATGAGTTGGGCAAAGGAAGGCGACCGTGAATGCCACGAACCTGCTGGGCGAGACTCCGTTGATCCTTGCAACACGAGCATCTGCAGACGCTCAGAAGTCTCTGCGCTTAAGCCGCTCGACAGATTTGGCGGCAGCATTTTTCTGCCTGTTCTATTGGCTGTCCCTCGCGACAAGACAGCACCAGTCATCCATTCACTCCAGGCATGGTAGTCCTTGTTTGAGGATGGTCATTCCTTTTTGGATAGGAAACATGTTGAGATTAAACTTAAACATCTTCACCAAGCAACTTGTGGCTTGGAGGCGCTCAATCCTTCGAATCGCCTGACGGAATCATTGTGGATACCGAAGGCACTTCATAGGGTTTGTCGTGAAAACAACTACAACAATGGAAGCAACAAGGCTCCTTTCTATGGAAGGCTCTTTAGTTCGGCTGCAGAAAGCTTTTGACATCTCACTACCCCCAAAGGAGCTCTAAGTGAGGTATCGTCAAGCTCTTGCTGAAAAGTCGCGCTGCGGTGAACACTTCCGACTCTGTCCTGCACGAAACTCCGCTCATGGAGGCTGCTGGAATAGGAGCCCCGATTTTTGACAGGTGAGTTGGTGATGATTACATTCTGCAGCCTTCAAGCAGACCGAACAGGCAGTGAAACCACACAGCAGTGTCTGAGCCTGGTATGCAACCATGACAGGAGACTCGGAGCTGGTGCTGACGCTGCTGCGCGCGGGCGCGGAGAGTGCGCGGTGCAGCGCCAGCGGGCAGAGCGCCCTGGACTTTGCCCTCAACGATGAGGCGGGCAAAGGCAATGCTTAGAATGCTTTGAATGCTTGGAATGAGAGGCAATCAGGGGATGGTCCGACGGTCGAATGGTCGGCGGATGGGCTCACGACGAGTGCTTCGGAACTGCAACCTCTTGGATACAAGCTCTTCGGAGCTCCCGGATCAATTTGTTTTCTTCTTTGGGAGCTGATCCGGGCCTGTGGACCTGCTTTCCTATGTTTCATGCGGTGCCTGAGAGGTGAAGTGGATGCTCAAGAACCCGATGCAGGCCACCTCAGGGTCACCCTGGCCATCTCGATGCTCTTCCCTTTGGCGCAGATTTAGTGCTCTTGATCTTGGGTCTTGGGTGGGCATTTGGGCTAGGCGAACATGGCCTGACCACGTTGTCCGTTGTCCCCTCAAACAATTGTCAGGGGAACAAGTAATTCGGTGTGAGCCAGCAACCAAGCTCCAGAATGGAGACTTGACCCGCTTGGGATGAAGTGGAACAAGGACCCACGCAATAGTCAGGCGATGTCAAACGCATCTTCCAAGGACAGCCAAACTCCCGGGTACCGCCACCGCCGCCACAGCCGCAGCCGCAGCCGCAGCAACCGCAGCCGGGTCCGCGGCCGCCATTTCCGTCCTTCGTGCCAAAGCAGCCAGGCTTTGGGGGCGAGTTATGTGCCGGCGGAGAACTCTTGATTGAGTTGCAGAGGAAGGACATCATGAATGAAGGATTGAGGTTGGAAGGACTTCATGCAATGATAAACACTTGACCACGCAGATCACGGCGGCAAATCGAAGAGCCAAATTTGCAAGTTTCTGGGCCAGTATCAAACCAACAGCCTGACATGGGCGAATGCATCCTTGTTGGCCAAGCGTCAGAATCACGATGAATGGGTGGAGGTGCAAACAAGTTGGCAACATCAACATACGTTCCCATGACAAAGCTACTGCTCAGTCTCACGGGGCCAATGATGCGTTCAACATGTTGATTGTTGTTTGCTCGAGCCCCTGCAACGCATGCGAATGGGATGCAACAGTATTTCCCCCAAGGCCAGAAATCAGCAACATATTTCTTGAGATGGGCTGAAAAAACAACCCCGCGCCTTTTCGTTATGTAAGGGGCCGTCCCTTAACTTGTTTCGCAGGCCAAAACCATTGTAAACCGATACAGAGGAAAAAAAAAACGATACCCCCAGAAGCCATGAAGACACACATCAGGTCCTAGTCGTTATCGCAAACCAAGATTGTGGAATCACAAATTTGCAGGGCCCAAACCGATACCCAAACCGATACCCAACCGATACCCAACTCATTGGCCGCCCTGCCGAATCCAACCAGCTGCCCTGCAGCCTTCTCTGGAGCTGCCAACATGTACTTTGTGTACTACATTTGTACTGAAAAGTTGCGACTTCCGCTGTGGAGCTGCCAAAATGTACTTCGTATACTACACCATGCTACACTTGCTTGTGCTGAAAAGCTGCGACTCTGCCAAAGTGTACTGCGCATACTACTGAAAAGTTGCTACTTTCCAGCTGGAGCTGCCAAAATGTACTTTGTGTACTACACTTGTACTGAAAAGTTGCGACTTTCCAGCTGGAGCTGGGAGCTGGCAGAGTGTACGTCGCATACTACACTTGTACGGAAAAGTCGCGACTTTCGAGCCAGAGCTGCCAAAACACTGCAAACCGATGCAGAGGAAAAAAACCGATACTGACCGATACTGAGGCATAAGGATACAAGGGTTGTCCACGGGGTTTTTTCAACCCAGATGGGAATCTCTAGATGCGCTACAATAGTTTGTTGTTCTGCCCCCAGCGCAAGAGAGGCAGATGGTCTGCTGATTACATGAGAGGAGGCGTTCATGTCTCACAACAGGCCCTTTGCCTGTGCAACACGTCCGCCCGCAGGTCCGAAGACACTGCCAAAGAAACCGCAGACTTATTCCGAAAGACTACAGCCGCTTGCCTGCTTGGTATTGATGGTATTGCCAATTTCGCGATTCCATATCCGAAGGGCCGAAGGGCACTGTACCGACTGTACCCTTACCCAGTGAATGTTGGATTCCTTTCGGCCAGACGTTCCTCTGAGGAGCCTGCTCGCCAAGTACCCCGGCTTCGCAGGCACTCCAAGCAGAGGTTCCCTCCCAACGCGTGGGCATAGCCGAGAGGGGTTTTTCAGGACAGCCCAAGAAGGGGCGCTCTATAGTGGATAGTCTTCAAGAACGAGAGCAGATCCCGGTTCCGAGGCTGCTTTTGCCTTTCCGATGAAACAAATGTAACCTAGAATCCTCGTCCACGTCTCAGATCAGCCAGAGGATTGCTAGGTGATTAGTCTTATTCAGGGATGTTTTCGTCTTGCAGCATTCCAGATCATGGATGCGTTGTGAAGAGCTGCTCAATGTCCTGTGAAATTGCAGAATCAGAGGTTTGGGCCGAGATCATGTTGATAGGTTTTCAGTCCCAGGACCTTGCAACACGTAGCGAGTTGAAACTTTCTTGGCCGACTTGGAACTCTCTCAGCCCGGTGTGTACAAGTTCTTTTCGTAAAGGCACATCATGTCATGGCCATTTCAGCAGACAGGTGATTAATCACAAACACACATCAAACGGAAAAGTTCTGAAATCATTTACTGTAGGATTTGTTGGACCTCCTTCTTTCACTCCCTCCCCCTATCCCTCCACAGCCCGGCCTTGTGTATCCCTGACGTACCACATGTTGTGCGAAGTTGCGTGGTGCAGGGTCTGGGGTGGAGATGCCGAGCCACGCCTGGCAGTGGAGCCACGAGGAGCTCGAGCTCTTCATCGGTTCCTTGGCCTGGCCTTTAAGCCTTTGGCGGGTGTGGGCGGGCGTTGAAAGCTGTCGAAGGGTTGCGACATGCTGTGAAGATGGGGAGAGGTGATGACTCAACTTGTGGGTTGACCATTTGCGTCATCGTTGGAAGGAACACCTTGCAAGTAAGATATTCTTCCAAGGCCGCAGGAGTCGTGCTTACGCTTGTAACTTAATTATTTCAGTTATTCGCATAATCAATGCAATTTGGGGATGGTCATTTACCACATGAGAACCTTGGCTGCAGTTCAGGACCTTCTTGCGGGGCATTGCACTGCAGTTCCAAACAGCAAAAGGGATGAGCGATGGGCCTAGTGATCAATGCGCCCTTCGATTCAGCTTGACAGTTTTGGTCCAACCTTTCCAATCAACAGGAGCATACAGAAGGTTCGAGTCCGGACGGCGAGTGCTGTCATCTGTGTCATGTGTGGGGCTCAGGCAGCATGGGCCAATTCTGGCCGCCGGGCCGTGCTCGGCCCAGCCCGGAGCCCAGACACAGCAATGTTTCCTGGTTGAAAGACGCAGTCACAACATGTAAAGCCTTGAATGAATCTGATCTTGCCAGGAAAGCAGGCTTTCCAAAAGTGATGCACAGCTCGCTTTCCGGAAACTCACTGCTCTGGAGGCATGAAGCCAGGGCCCACTGCCGGTGCCGGCGCGGCAGGCGCGGTGGGCATTTTGATCGCGAGAGGGGGGGATGCCGCCGTCGCAACAAACTGAAGTCTTTCCCACAAAAAAGCCAACTTTCACCCAAATTGTAAAGTACCTGGGCAGCATCTGTATCTCCTGCCCGCAAAGTGTGCAGTGAAGGCTTGGGGGGCTTTCGAAGAGAGCGTCAAGAATCTCCCGCCAGGCAGAGGCCGGGACGTCTGGGAACGGCCGAAGCCCTCGCTGCGCCCTCACTACCAGGCGCAACGCGCCCCCGGGTGGGGAGGGTCTTGGGGCACTTTGAATGAAGCTCTGGCCGCTTTCGGCCAGGGCAGAGTTCCGATGAGAGCGCCTTTCCAGTCAATCTCAGACAATCTCTGCCCACTGCTCCCATTGTCTCGTTCGGCCCGTTTGGCATTCGCCAGGTGCTGGGTGTGGCGGACGGCACCAGGGACCAGCAGACCTTGAAGCGGGCCTACAGGCCAGATCCGGGTATTGTGGCTGTGCGCCCTGCGGCGTTTTGCAAAGTATGGATTTTGGCCCCCTCCAAACGGCATGCTTTTGAGGCGTCCTTTTCAATGCATCGGATTTCGGCCATCCCTGACTTCACTGGTTCACACAGATGACCTGAAATTCCCCGAAAAAGAAACACCCCGAAACATGTCACATACAGGCGCAGACGAAGACGCAGACGAAGACGCAGACGAAGACGCAGACGAAGACGCAGACGAAGACGCAGACGAAGACGCAGACGAAGACGCAGACCCAGACACAGACGCAGACACGTGCTGTGGATCGGCATAATCCAGAAACACTTGGGATCGATGAAACCTATGAATACTGGGACACCCCCCTACCAACTGGTGCAGGATTTTGTTCATCCAACGTGGCAGCTTACTGGCACGCTAACATGTTGGCCGATGATACAATGATGAATTTTGCAGCGTGTGGTTGTCGGTCCTTGGGCATGATTTTATGGATTTGTTGTTCTCCAACTCCTTCATGGGACATTCCCAAAGACAAGCGACAGGAGGAGTTCGACTTAGTGCAACCTGGTCACCGGTCCCTGGTCTGTACCAAAGCGGCCTTGCTTGTGAGACAGTCTGCGAGAATCCCTTTCTGTCATTTTGAATTTTCTAATCGCCTGAAGCAGTGGCTGCAGATGAGATCGCCGTCTCGCGTTGTTGCTGTCCCAGTCATTCCAGGCAGGCGGCATTGAAGTGGCACCCGGACAAGAACCCCAACGACCCCCATGCGGCCGCCAACTTCCAGAAAGCCTGCAATGCCTTTGAGCCGCCTGGCTGAAGAAGGAAGCAGCTCCATGGGTTTGTCAAAAACAAAATGGGGCCGCTCCGCTTGTCCTTGATTGTCAGATTTGGTTAGATTCGGCAGTCTGGAGGTGGTTTAGGGATTAGGCTGAATTTCCGCTCTTCAGAGAAGTAGCCAGCACACCTCACGACCTTGCTGTGACAGTTTGCGCTTTTGGTGTAGTTATAGAGGTTCACAATTTGTTTGCCGTGCCCTGACAGGCAGATTTGCAAAGCGCTTGGCTTCAACGCGTGACGTGGCCGAAGCCTTGCGGGCAGCGCAGGGCGTGTAGCAAAGTGCAGAGCTGTTGCAAGCGCTACACCCAGAGGCCGTCGGATCCACTCGGCTCGGCGCGGACTCGGTCGATGGATTCAGCCTGGATGGAGAACCGGAGAATGGGCGCTGCACTGCTGGACCCGCACGGCAGAAAGCGCCTGCACTTCTGCCCCTGGCAGGCAAACAGATTTGGCAGCGACAAAGCAGTCCAGGTGCCACGGAGCATTTGTGAGGCTGTGTTTCGTGCTGTTGGCAGCATTAGCATTTTGGCCAACAGTCATGCATGAGAAATGAGTGCCAGATGAAGCATCAGAATGCAGCCTATGTGAAATGCCCCTTCAACAACTCTGAGGACACTTGATCTTGTCTCACAACACATGCATCAGACAATCACGTACCATACTTGTTGCGCCCCTACACTGAGCCCATGACATCAAGCAGCACGCCTACTCACGTGAAGCAGCTAGCTCCAAGCCTACAATCAAGCTTACGCCGTATTTGACACGGTCCGACCATGAATCGGGATGTCAAGGCAGATGCACGGCAGCTGCAGATTGTCCAGCACTTGATCACCCAGATGATTCATATACATAAATATATATATATATATATATATCTCACACTAGAGGAAATAGAGAGAGAGAGAGAGAGCAGGAAAGAAAGGAAGAAAGAAAAAGAAAGAAGGACGGAAGGAAGAAAGAGAGAAAGAAAGAAGGAAAGAAAGGAAAGAAAGAAGGAAAGGAAGGGAGGAAGGAAGGAAGGAAGGAAAGAAAGAAAGAAAGCAAGAAAGACAGAAAAACAGAAAGACAGAAAGATAGAAAGACAGAAAGACAAAAACAGACAAAAGAAAAGAAAAGAACAGAAAAGAAAGAAAAGGAAAAAAACAAAGAAAATAAAAGAAAGAAAGAAAGAAAGAAAGACAGAAATATAGAAAGAACGAAAGAAAGAGAGAGAGAAAGAAAGAAAGAAAGAAAGAAAGAAATAAAGAAAGAAAGAAAGAAAGAAAGAAAGAAAGAAAGAAAGAAAGAAAGAAAGAAATACAGACATAAACAACAAAGAAAGAAGGAAGGAAGGAAGGAAGGAAAGAAAGAAATAAAGAAAGAAATAAAGACAGAAAGAAAGAAAGAACGACAGGAGAGAGAGACAGAGAGAGAGATGGACATTTCACGCGTCATTGTCACAGCTTTCAATCAAACTTGCTAACTTTGTTCCTTTGAACTGTAGGTGCACGCTGAGGGCCAAGGACGATGATTGAACGTTGGCAGGTTGGTCGCCAGTACTTGGACATGGGCGAACATTCTAATTGCTTCAACAGTCTTTCTTTGGCCTGCGGGCGAAACAGGCAGCACAATGTGAAGGATGTATGCATTTGTGGGCATGATTGATCTCATGTCATGAGCAGATATTCAGGCCATTTTGAAGGGAATGAGTTGCCAGATTGATGAAGCATGGAAGCAGCAGCCATGCTATGCGCACCAGAACAAACAACCAACACCTCAGAGTTGATTTTTAGACACGCTTTGGCCGAGCTTGAGCTGCTTCATGCGAGGCGCATGGTTTCTCGGGCAGGCTGGACTTGTTCGCACGTGTTGGCCCAACTGCCCCTGCCATTTGCTTCGTCTGCAGGTTGGTGCTCCTGGTCGCATCTGCCCAGGCCAGCCTGTGGTGAGTCGCATTGCATTGCTGTGGGTGAACGGAGTCAGTTGCGAGCAGGCGCAGATGCTGGACGCACCCAGCCCAAGCCCAAATTCTTTGTTGCCGGGGCCCAAAGCACTGTCAAGCAAAGGTGCAGCAGCGCAGCGCGGCCATGCGCATTGTTAAATCACGTACTTGGAGCAGCTCCCAAGTATCTTGTTGCCGACGTTTCAGAAAATGACGCCCTATTCAAGCTTCGTAAGCATCTCGGTATTATGGGTTTCGGCACCGCTCGTTTGCGGTTTGGGGATCGATGGGCCCAACTTGCAGTGTCAAAATGTTTCGGTGACAGTCTTGACGTCCAAGTGGAGAAGGGCTTCCAATATGAAGAAATCTGTTTGCTCTTTCAACTTCTCGTTTTGCAGTTGCTCGAGGCAAGACCTGCGGAGCATGCAGCAAGGGAGCTTCCCTGGTCAGGGCTTGCCGCAGGGAATCGGTGGGATTCCTGGTGGCATGCCAGGCCAGATGGGGCAACCTGCAGGCCAATTCGGCCAGATGGGCCAGGGTCAGATAGGCCAGATGGGCCAAATGCCTGGCCAGATAGGTCAAGGTTTTGGCGGGCAGATGGGGCAAGGCTTTGGCCAGATGGGTGGCCAGATGCCTGGGCAAATGGGTCAAATGCCTGGGCAAGTGGGCTCGATGGGTGGCCAGATGGGTGGCCAGATGGGCGGCCAGATGGGTGGCCAGATGGGTGGCCAGATGGGCGGCCAGATGGGCGGCCAGATGGGCGGCCAGATGGGTCAAGGATTTGGCCAGATGGGTCAGGGTCAGATGGGCGGGCTGCCGACGGGTATGGGTGGCTTTGGAATGCAGGGCCAGGGCTTTGGAGCTCCTCAAGGTCAATTTCAACCGCAGCCGGCGCCTTGGGTGGAACTGAAATTTGCCAATGTTGTGGAGCCACGGCTTCCGTGCCACTGATAAAATCGGAGAGTGGTGTCAGTACATCCTTGGAGGGGCTGACTGCAACTAAGGCCTGGTATGGGTGGATTCCCCCCGCAGGCGCAGACACGGCAAGCTCATATTTCCCTTGTCTCATTCGTAAGCCGATTGCTTCGCGCTTGTTTGCTTTGTGGATGGCCACCTGCTTTTGCCTGCCATAAACCTTCCCCGAAATTCAGCTTTCCTGATTGCTAAAACAGCGGATTGCTGCATTGCCTGAGTTCTGTGTTGGAGCGACATCTTACACTGTGGCTGTTGACGTGTCCCCTGTCACATCACTTTTGACAGGCCCAGGAGGAGAGGCCGGGCGGGTGTGAGGCGCGGGACCTTAGCTGTAGGATCTGGAGACGCCCGGCAGGACGCTGGAGGATCTCGCCTGCACCGCTGGTTCCCACAGCGCGGTTTGGGGCACTGGGCTCGGCAAGCAGGCTGTGCCAGCATGTGCCCGCATCACGTTTGCCGGCATTGCAAACTGAGACGGGTGCATCTCAGGTGCTGCCAAGCAAGTTTTCAGAAGCGTCTTTCAGGAAACGCTGCCAGGAGCCCAGCACGCTTGCCATTGCAACTAAAAGTCTCATTGCCGTTCAAGCGATTCTCCAAACACAAACACAATGCTTCTTCAAATCCTCAAGATCCTCCCTCAAGACCGGCCAGCCGCGGCCAGTTAGTCCATGGGAGCCTTCCAGTACCAGGTTGATGTTGTGAAGGGCCATGCTGTGTCATTTGGACACTTCAGCGGCTGTTCGTCCGGTGCTTCGTCCACAGGAAACCACCGCATCCGAATAGATTCCAGATCGTCTCACATGCATGTTCCTTTAGTGCCTTGCTGTGTGCCCGTTCAAAAACGTGCCAAGTGGTTTCCAGCCGCTTTCCCTTCTTAGAAGAAAGGCAGGAGAATGAATAGAGAGAGAGAGAGAGAGAGAGAGCGAGAGAGAGTGAGACGATAAGTAACTCTGCACGCCCCATAGAAATGGTGCGCGCACTTCGGCGCCTTCCAAGGCGCATGTCTTGAGGCTTGAAAGTATACGCATTGTCTTAACATTCATTGACCTGAGTGTTGGGAGTTTCCTGCGTTGGAGCCAAGGTATGGAGGCGTTGATGTTTGTTGGATTTGCTTGCTGCTGCCTTTGCTCCGGGAAGCATGTCGCATGCTTCTTACTCTTCACCAGTCACGCATTGCTGAAAGGAAGCAGCAGGAGAAGTGTGTCAAGCATTGTCCTGAGCTAGCAAGCCCTTCATGGCACCAAGACGTCTCTGAGGCCCTGGCAGCCCGTGCCCAGGGAGACGCTGTGCCGAGCTAAGGTTTGTCTCGGAATGCCCATGCACACTGTGGGCGGTCGAAAACGATGTGGAGCTTCGTATTATTGGGGCTCTACTCCGTAAACCAGAGCTATCATAGGCCAGCCCCCGCATGCTTTTGTGCAGGAGCGTGTTTGTGTTGAGGAAAGCCTGCATTGCTTGGGTGTGTTTCATTTAGGGGCCATTAAGGTTTAGTTCAGATCTTGCGATTGACACAATCGAGGACTTCTAGATTGATTGGAGGGGCGTTTGGAAGCTTTGCGTTTTGTTTTGCTTCGACGCTTCCACAATGTGTTCATGCCGCTGGAAGGCCAAGCGGAGCGAACAATTGTGAGGTCTGCGGCCATGGAGGCGGCGCTTCAGATGCTCAAGTCCGCAGGCGCCATGGGCCCCCAGGCGTGGGAGCGCTTTGATTTGGGCAAATCGTGTGTAAAATGCTCGAGGTTCTCTTATGCACGCGAGAATTGATGGAGGTCGTATGCGAGAACTTGGGGTCAAGTTGACTCGCAAAAGGATTGTGCCAGGCCACGGACGAATGCGGCCTGGGGAAGCTGCCAGGGCCTCTGTTGCCGAGTTCTTGGGGGGCACCGGTGGTGGGTTACTCAGTCTTTCATTGAGTTGCCTTAATCACCGGTGATCTAGGGCTGGTAGACTTCATTTATGGCCCTTACTTGGCCCTGCATGGAGCCAAGGCCGGAAAGATGCATCAAATCAGCTGACAGATTGCCTGAAGTTGCAACGCATGGCTGCGTTGTCCTGCTGCACATGGATTTCAAGTTGTAAACGCGACATTGTCCAACCAAAGTCAGATGCATGAACAAACACATTTCTCGTTTTGCTGAGCCAGCAGGCCGGAAGAACACTATGCCATCCTTGTAGCTAGCACTGAGAGAACTGGCTGCCATGTGACAGGTGCATTCCATTGTGGGATCTGGGTGTACGGGCAAGCATTAATCTGAATTGAAGGGGCATGGGGATTGAGCTTTGTCAGGATGACGGCATTTATTGCGTATTCTAGGGGATGCATATTTTCTTGAACAGCAACCCAGATGTCACTTTCACGATGTTTTCAGAGCGAACCAAATCAAACTAGGGTGGGCACCCATGGCTTTCTTTCTGACAGGGCGCTAGAGATTGTGTGAGGACGGTCCAGCTGTACTCCTTCGCAGCCATTGATGAGCCCCAGGCCAGAACGTTTGGGAATCGAATGAGATGTCAGAACACTGAAAGGCGTTGCAGTCAATTACCCTACTGCGAATGACCATGATGCAGAAGAACTTGGCGTAGCTGAATGATCAAACATGCAGCCGTGCTGAGTATGAACAGTGATGGAAGAACCCAGGTCAACATGGCGAGAGTGGGAGCTGGATCATTGATTGTTAAATGCCATTTGTGGGAAGCTGGGAAGCTGCGCTTTGCGACCGAGACTATGCGGGAGCGATGCTGTTTCTTTCGGCAGGCTCACCTTGCCCAGGCAAACCCCCATCTTTCAAAGCGGTTCTTTGATGTTCTGGTCGATGCCGATGCTGCTCGTCACCAATGGTATCGAATCCAGAACTGTCCACAAACCAACCAGTTATCTAGCTCATTGCAACCGCAACTTTCTGGCAGATAGAACTACCCGAGCAGTGCATGCTGGGATGTGAGCCACAAAAGGTCCTGCTTCAGCTCTTTGCCGGCTTTGAGCAGCTTGCCTCTCCGGTGCGCTTAGCACGCCTCATGCTTGGGCCGGTACTTGCAGAACTAGCCTTGGAGTAGCGTCCCAGGTTGTCAGTAACTGGCTGGCCGGCTAGAGTTTCAACATCAATTCTTCTTGATGTGCCAGCTTTGGAAGCAGCCCTTCGGTTCTGGAGTAAGAAGTGTGTCCCCATGCCTGAAGAGAGTTGCCCACATGCCCAGCGAGGTACTGACTATGCTGCTCGACATGCCATGGGCCCGCAGCCCGGAGTGAGCATGGCACGTGCCCCAGAGCTTGGGTTTAGGCCCTGTCTTTCAGCAAGGCTGCGCTGGCGCAAACCGGGTGGCCCGTTGTGGCTCTGTCCTAGCCTCAAGCTGTGCGTCCATTTCTGACGCCTTTGCGTGGTGTTGACAAGCCCCGAGAGGGTCTGTTTTCAGGTGGCAGCGTGTCAAGATTCTTTGACGAAGCATTAGCAATTGATTGAGCAGCAGAATGAGCCTTGCCATCAAGCAGTGGCCAGATGGGCCATGGATTCGGACAAAGTGTTATTGCAGAGCTGGTAAGCTGCCGCAGGCTCGCCCAGATCAACCTTCGCAAAGCGCAATTGGGCGCCGAGCGCCCAGCTTCATGCAACGAAAACCGGATTTGCTGCAGCTTTAGCTTTAGATTTCCTGCGATAGCCAACCGTTAGCACTGGTTTATCTAGTGTGAGAAGACTTGAGGTTCCTTCCAAGACGCTCGGTGCCTTGCAGTGAATCCTTGCGCTGCAGCCACAGTCCATGAGGCTGTCAACGACGAGAGAGTGGATGGGCTGGACGTGCCTGCCGGACGGCAATTCCAGGCGCAGCGAGCAGCGGCCACCGTTTGCCCAGGCAAACAGGTTTTGCTTGCTTCATAGTTTTGTGGGCACTGGACATCGCCTTTGGATCAAGTGTTCAACAGCCGTTCCTCGGACCTCCACGGAGAGCCATGCTCGCCTCGGACAAGAGTGGGTTTAGGATCGTTGGTACTGGGCCCGCATGAAGTTCGAACAGATAAGCGCCTGGGCGAAACCACAGAAGGCAAGCAGCCGCCAACATGGCACTGGTGATGACTTGGCTTCGGTTTCCTCACTTCAACCAAAGGAGACCAACGATTTCCATTTGAGGTAGCCTACAAATGTCACCTGCAGTCTGGGTTTTCTTAGAGTCAAACGGAGTTAAGAAAACACCCAGCTGGAAGCAATTGCAGAGGTATGCTTTTGTTGCAACATGCAGAATGCCTTCCCAAGTCCCGATCCTTGTCTTCGGCACACTGTGTGTCTCTCGTGCCTCTCTGTGTCTCTCTGTGTGTGTGTCTTGCTTGCACTCACAGTTTACTTTCGCTATGTTGTGAGTAAACCAGCGACAACCCATGAACAATGCAGGGATTCAACTTGTTGCCTACTTCAGATGGGCTGTCGGAATTGCGCTGTGGGCTTCTTTTCTTTGAAAGGTGGCCCGACAGGTCACCGTCCCCAAAACGGACCCCTTTCTGTTGGCAATCTGCAGAATGTTTGGAGTTGGGGACTTTGCGATGGGCATCCTCGAGGCCCAGCTCCTGGCTGCGCTGGCAGCGAGGGACGGGGCGGCGGGCGGCTGAGAGGGCACGGGCTTGAACGTTCTGCCACGCATTTTTGGGATATGAGGTTTGTATGTCACCGGTGCGCGCATTGTGAGTAAACCAGCGACAACCCATGAACATGCAGGGATTCAACTTGTTGCCTACTTCAGATGGGCTGTCACACGACAGGTCACACACACACACACACACACACACACACACACACATACACACACACACACACCACACACACACACACACACACAAACACACACACACACACACACACACACACACACACACACACACACACACACACACACACACACACACACACACACACACACACACACACACACACACACACACACACACACACACACACACACACACACACACACACACACACACACACACACACACACACACACAACACACACACACACACACACACACACACACACACACACACACACACACACACACACACACACACACACACACACACACACACACACACACACACTCACACACACACACACACACACACACACACACACACACACACACACACACACACACACACACACACACACAACACACACACACACACACACACACACACACACACACACACACACACACACACACACACACACACACACACACACACACACACACACACACACACACACACACACACACACACACACACACACACACACACACACACACACACACACACACACACACACACACACACACACACACACACACACACACACACACACACACACACACACACAACACACACACACACACACACACACACACACACACACACACACACACACACACACACACACACACACACACACACACACACACACACACACCACACACACACACACACACACACACACACACACACACACACACACACACACACACACACACACACACACACACACACACACACACACACACACACACACACACACACACACACACACACACACACACACACACACACACACACACACACACACACACACACACACACACACACACACACACACACACACACACACACACACACACACACACACACACACACACACACACACACACACACACACACACACACACACACACACACACACACACACACACACACACACACACACACACACACACACACACACACACACAAACTCCACACAAACACACACCACACACACCACACACACCACACACACCACACACACCACACACACCACACACACCACACACACCACACACACACACGGCAGCAACAGAAGAGGGCCAAAAGGACTTTCAGAATCACTCAAAAGGTGCAGGTACACAAGGCTGATCAGGCCTTGCTTCCCACTCTCACCCACAGCTTCATTGCGTGTGGTAGGATGAGAGTGCCACACGCCCCTGCTGCGAAACTGAAAGGGTGGTGACAGGGCATTCTGTCACTCCGCACACACACGCCCCTCTACGAGGGGCGAGGTTTCTCTTTTCTCCTGCAGGAAGATCACATGCTCAAACTCAAATCACTATCGTTGACCAAAATATCCACCACGGCGAGGGGAGCGAGACACTGCCCTAAACCGCTCAGAAGACGGGAACGAAAGATCACAACGTTGAGCATTGCGAGTGTCGCCATAGAGGACTGAAGCGATCTGCGAAGCAGCCGGGCGATCACCATGAGAAAACGGAGTGGCATAGGTGAAGGTCTCCTCAACTTGAACGGCATCGGAGTTCCGACCTTGACCAAGAGTCGGATCATGTGAATAGTGAGTTGCGAAGGACTCAATCCGAGACAGGATGCGCTGGTACCCTTGGTGTTGCCAGTCACGGATGTCCCATGCCTGGACTGGCGCTTCGGGATCCGTCACCCGCTGCCATTCACGAAAAGAGTTTTCAGGTAGATCAGGTACGGCGTCACCACGGTGCCATCGTTGAGGTTGTCCCGGAGTGTATATCCGCACCCACTCCTGATCATGCCAGACCGAATATTCGAGCCATGGATGTTGCTTGGAGTCATCGGTGTCCATGTCGAGGCAAGAGGCAAGGATGGTCGCGGGCTCCGATCCAGCTGGTAGATGAACAAGCACCATGCACAACCATGTTCAAACAACAGCAAAGCAAGATCATGCAAGTGTAGAGGCCACCCTTATTTTGTACGCTGCGCTGCTCATGCAAGGCTAGTCTTCAGTCAGCTCGAAGACGGGCCTCATCTTGTCTTGGCCGCTGTCGGACGGATTCACGGGCCTGTAGGGGTCGGAGACCCCAATCGTCTCCGATGGTGTGTTGCCACGCGATGCACGTACTGGTTGATGAGGATGGGAGGTCAGACGTGCGCGGGCCGTCAGTTGTTGAGAAATCCCCTCCTGGAGACGAGTCAGTTCTTCAGTGGAGAAATCAGCCGCATCCGAGGACCTGAGAATCGCGTCTAACAGCTCCGGTGACATACTCAATGCCGCAGACTGCGTGGCCACGTTATGGTGATCGGAAGGATACATGGAATCAAATTCATGACCTGCGTGAGGAGCAGCGATTCTCCGATAGCCCTCTGTGGCCCAGTCACGCTTGTACCACGTAGTGACTTGGACTTGCCCTTCGACTGAGTCCTGGTTGGGAGCATAGAACTCCCGCCATTCTCTGAAAGTATGCGGAGGAGGTGGAGCATCATGTTCTTCTTGAGGCGTCCATGGTCCCGGATGAAAGATCTTGACCCACTGGGCATCTGGTTGTTGAGGGTCCGGGCACCATTCCAGCCACGGCATGACAACGCAACCACGGAAAGACAAGTTGATAGGTGTACGGCTGCAGACAACAACGAGTGCAAGCAAATCAACAATCAAAATGCAAAAGACCACTTTTGTAGCACTGCGCGGCGTCAACATCACAGTCAGACTCTCCAGGGAGGCGAGGACGGGCATCAGCTATCATGTGAATTTGATGATGCCGAAGAGGAGGTCATTCCAGCATACATGAGGTCCGGTGCACCCGAAGCGAAAACTGGCCTCGCTATGCTGGGATGTGGACGACCCAGGCGTTGGTACCCCCTGGTGACCCAGTCCCTGTAATACCAAGTGTAGAAGGTGGCGTAGGATACCGGTTGCAGAGCCGTGCCTATAGTTGTGCCGCCCGTGCTTTCCCTGGGCCAGTACACTTCGAAGTGGTAGACCTTGCGCCATTCCCGATAGGCGGTCGGGTCATCCGGGGCCGGTCCCAGGGTGTCAGGGGCGACTGGATGCCACTGACCCGGCACATAGATTCGAATCCATTCCACCCTCGTTCCTGCTGGTCCATTGACGATGTCATAGTCAAAATAGCGAGGTAGGACCCATCGTGCTGCACCCTGCACCGTACTATTGAACATTTCAACCCGACAAGCTGCTCAAAGTTATCACAGAGAGCGGCGGACACATAGAGACGACATGCGCTGCACCAAGCAAGACAACCCAATGAGAACTCACATACAAAGCACGCACAACCGCATCTTTGTCCAACATGCAACTCAAGTGTCAATCCGAATCATTCCAAGGATCATGAAATGGTGGCGGTGACGGTTCCCGCCACGCTCCATCAGGTACCGACGAGCCCACCGAGGACTCGATGTCTGCGTTGGCGAGCATCGCGAGTCCGATGGATTGGACAGGAGGTCCAAGTCGTTGGTACCCTCGCGTTTGCCAGTCTCGGTACTCCCACACGTGATAGGACACATAGGAACTGGGCGTGGCAATAGGATCCATTGTGGTGCCTCCGGTGCTGTCTTCAGACCAGTACACTTGGAAGTGATATGATCTGCGCCACTCCCGAAATGTGGAAGCGTAAAGTGGGTCCGGAACTGGCGCCTCCTCGGAACGGGCCTCCAAATGCCCGGAGAGTAAATTCGAATCCATTCCACTCCTCTCTCGATCTGGTACTCGAAATACTGGGGGTTCATAGCAGCAATACGGGCTTGCACGACTGCTAAACCAATCGAAAATCTGCGGCAAGGACACACATGCATTGCCAACCGCACACATCCACTGAGGAGCGAGGCAACTTTTCAAACACAAGGTGAAACGGGTCAACGAGGTCTGAAATGTCTGACACCTGGCTTTCACTGTCTTTGATGTCGCGCACACCTGCAATGATAATGACCTGGTCGTCTACGTGCACAAGGGGAAAGACATTTCCGTCCATGGCGCAGGATGGCGTGACAGTAATGTTTGCATGTTGCCGATGGGGATCGCGATGAACGGCCAGCACGTTTGGAATAAAACACTGTAAAGGGCCGTCGAGATCGCCGCGGCGCTGAAGCTGATGCTGTCCGAGATCGTTTGGACGAGCGGCCTGGACTGCGTGGTACTTCATCACGGGAAGGGTCAGTGCTGTAGATCGAGCGGCGTGTGCGCTGCGATTTCAAAGAGGTAGGGCAGGATTGTCCGCGAGGGGCTGAGATCGAGGGGCTGCGTACCGAGGGCATAAACTGGGGGTGTAGAATCACCGGTGGTGGTGGTGGTGGTGGAGGAGGAGGTGGAAGAAGCAGTGGCAGACTTGGCGGGGGCGGAGGCGACGTAGTCAGCCGAATGGGTCTGTCGAGTAGAGCCCCGGGTCCATGAAATTGTAACCACGTCGGCTGCGCTCCATGGGTCCAGGTAATGTACGTCTGTACAACTTGTTCTGACATGATTTGAGCAACTCAGGCAAGACATCACTGCATGTCAACGACATCTCGCGACACGACAAGCAAGATTGAGTCACGTGCAAGCAAGCAAGTATCATGTGATCAACAACTCAAACCGGACACACCGCCGCCGCTTATCATTTGGTCCATCAATGGGCGCTGCTGCATTTGCCGGGCTTGTTCCTAGCTGCGAGCCTCAAGTTGTTGATAGACCTTCCATGCCTGCTTGACTTCCTCAATCGGCTTCTGAAGAAACCGCGCAATGGTCTTATAGGTGGGCCTGGAATCTTTATCTTTCTTCCGTCTCACCATTTCATCCAGCTCGCCCTGTGTCCATGCCGTGAAAGGT